AGGGGATTGCGTTTTTGTCTTCATTTATAATGGGAAAATTATTCATCAAATGATTTCATTTAATTTGATTAGCTTATGTATTTTTAATTTTATGTTTTCATACGGGCCAGATTTTATAGCGCCATGGGCCAAATTTGGCACCCGGGCCACCTATTTAAGAACCATGGGCTTAGAGGCTTTGTGCTATAAGTCAGACGCTTCATTTACACGTATTATTATCTTTCACAAATAATATGTTAATCTACATACACTACACACGATAGCGACACGACGACATATCATCGCGTTGTTATTCTTCAACGCATTTTTATCATGTCGATCTATCCATGGAGGAAATATATTTATATTCATTCCCTCCATGATCTGTCTAGTGTAGTAAACGTAGCACATACTTGTGAAACAGGTACCGTTATAATTGTTTATTTTTGCAATTTAATGCTTCAGTATCTTGCCCCATAAACATTACTCATTGTTAAGTAATGCATGGTTAAGTCGGAGTTCTAATGTCAAAAAATAAGGTAGCCTATGTTGTTTATTGCATAACAAATTATCCGCGCCCACGATATCTAACAATACTATAAGGCTACGTTTTTCCATAACCAAACTACATCGGTATTCGATACATGCTATTAATTCTATTGTGTTTTTGTCTTTCAGTAGAAAACGTTGGATGAACGTTCCAAGAAAGATGCGAATATGCGGCTTTACGTTAATTATATGTATTTTAAGCATTCCTACGCATACTGCGGCAGCAGAGAATATACTGATCTTGCCGGGCATGGAAACAGGCAGCCATTTCCTCTTTATGAAAATCGTCGGAAAAGCGTTGCTTGACAGAGGGCATTACGTGACATTCATCTTAGGAGAAGATCATGTAAATGATTTAAATCATGCTTTTTCGGTGCAACGCTTTACAACGAATGTCACCGTTCAAACATGGAAGACATTTTGGAATAATCTTGCCATTGCTAATTCAAGAGGAGAGCATATTCATCCGCTGTCTTACAACAATTCGCAAATGAAGACATTGGTCTACGACGGTTGCCATGCCATTTTGAGAGATAGTACATTTATGAACAATTTGAAAACTAGTCCGACGAATTATAGCGTGATAATTGGTGATATTCTGAATCCATGTGCACCGATATTATCTCTTTATCTATCGATTCCTCTAGTTGAGGTTGCTACTGGATCAATCACAGCCAATCTTGTGTACTTATCAACCCATACAGTCGATGCCTCTTTCTTTCCCACTGATAGCAGGCGCCCAACAGTTGCGCCATTACATATCCATCAACACGCTCTTAAAAGTACGCGTATTTTAATCGCTACGTTACACTATCAGAGAGCGGTATTAACGAATTTCGATAATTTGAAATCTAAATACAATATTAGATCAGATATTTCGATCTATACGGCCATGTCTAGAGCAAAATTATGGCTGTTTAATATCGATACTAGCTTAGAGGTTGGACGTCCATCAATGCCAAATTCTGTTTTCGTTGGAGGCATAACGGCGAAGGAGCCAAAATCGTTACCAAAGGTAAATTATGCTCAGTTAAACTACTATGAACTGCCATGCATAGTGCAAGCCTAAATCAGTATTACTGGTACCAATATTGTTTTTATTTTTACACGCCTCTATTTGTCATCTCTGTACTTATAATATCTGAAGCGATAGCTGAGTGATGAAATGTTTGTGTACATAGTTCATGTGCTCAAATTAAACATACATTGAAACTCAAATTGTACGGCTTTATTACAAATATTTTCGTTTATGTACCCGATATTGTCAACAAACACTTAAAATGCTCAGATCGCCCCCTCCCCACCCTACCCAACACCAGTTGTAGTATACATTTCAAATCTCTCAGGTTAATAACTATGTTGTCTAATAACTTGTTGGTCTAATAAATAAACTGAAACTGAATGTAATACCTTGAATTTTAACATAGGCCAATTTACCTTATTTATATATTACGCAAAAACAATATTTTTTTTATTCATTAATTTAAGCACAAATTTAATTACATTCGTATGTGGCAATCCCTTCACATGACAATCACACAATGCGCTACGCAGTCTCATTTTAAAGCTTTTTGAATTGGAATCCTACTATGAAATGTATTGACCATGATAATGTATTTAACACTATGCATTTATAATTTGCGTCATTAAGGCTCCAGTTTTTCACGATTAATTTGTCTGATGCATTTTTAATTGAAAATTAATCTATTTTTTTTTTAGAATAAAACATTTTACTCCAGACCTCATTCATTTTAGAGTTTTATGAAGGTTCTTTTCATATTCTATCCACTTGGAAACAAAATTGATTTGATGATGAAAAAATAAAGAATTGAATTGAAAATTTCAAGTAGAGAAAAAACATATAGATGATTGGAGGTTGGGTCTCCAATATTGTATAGCTACAGGCTACGTTCAGACTGAGAGATAAGCCTGGCTTGAGTTAAAGCCCTATTCCCGGCAAAATTTCACTAAAAATTGACTTTTTTTTAGAAAATATGCATTTGCATTACTCCAATTATTATAAATCATGGAAAAATATTGGCATGAATTTTAGTTTTATGCAAAAGAATAAAAAAAATGAGAAATACAGTCTATTTCTCATAAAATATTACCATTTTCTCGACGAATTCATCGTTACTAGGCAAATTCAGAGGTTGTAGATCGCATCCACTGGAATACTCTCGCTTTTATGTATACTTTATACAGTCAATAAAGTGCGCCCTCTCTAATGAGAATAG